CCGGGTCTGAAGCCGGACTGAAATGGGTCCAGATAATTAGTTTCATCCAAGAGTGCTTGGAGTTGTCCCGCCACCACCCGCTCTAACACCTTGCCCAGAAACGGGATGTTGGCCACAGGTCTATAATTGGCGGCCACCTCTGGATCCAGGGATGCCTTCTTTAGGACTGGCCGGACTACCGCCTCCTTTAAAGGGGCAGGTATCCGGCCGTCCCTTAGAGAGGCGTTGAATGTTGTATGTACATGGCACTTTGAAGGTGCTACAAGACCACTAGAGAGTCAAACCACTTTGGTACAATATCAGTGGACCACACAAATACAATATCACTGTAAAGTACTAGTAGAATACAGGAAAATACATTAAAAATCATGTTTAGTGGGAAGCAGCTTTGTAGGGCAATGAATCTGTGACCATAGGAAGTTCTGCTCAGCTGAGATTTTGTCACAACTGACGAATCCTTTCACAACCCACAGGGGCTAGAAACATATGTGTCTGTCTCCATGCCTAAGAAGCCACACTTAAAGCTCCTTCAAAGGAAGTATCATCTACTAGGGTTCACAGCAGGGCAGCTTGCCTCTGCATGCTATTAGAGGGTGTTTGCTTCAGGCCCCCCTTCCCCCCACTTGTTTTATTGATTGTAAGTTATTTGCTTAGCCTTTCATATCTATATTTGGAATGATAAAATTATAATTATTTTGGATTAGCAAAAAGTACATTCCTCCAACAGCCTGAAATGATACACCACTGCTTAGGTTTATTTGCAGACTTCCTTAGTGTTAGTATTTAATGTGGTTTGTTTTTTCTTTTAAAGTTTTAATTGTTTCTCTAATTACTTCCCTTCTGTTTTTTTTATATCTCAGGTGTAATGGCTTTGCTGAGGCCTCTCCTATTGGATGTAGTTCCAAATATTCAACAGACAGCTGCCTTGGCCCTTGGGAGACTTGCCAATTACAATGATGACCTGGCAGAAGCGGTAGTTAAGGGAGATATTCTTCCACAGCTTGTGTATTCATTGGCTGAACAAAATGTAAGGAACTTTTATTTTCTTAAACAAGCTTTTCCTTGCTGCCAAATGGGGTTAAAATCTTGTATCTTAATTAGGTATTTAATAAGAGTCTTTAGATTCATGCGTTGTCATCACTGCACTACACATGGGAAGTGCATTGATCTCTCTTGATAGAAGATCTCTCTTGATAGAAGGTATCCATAATTGTGATTTAATGACTTGCTTTCAAAAATGATTTCCTTCTTACTTCATTAGCTGAAGTATATTACTGGTAGTTTTATTTCCTGAACTGTTTAATGAAATGATAGTATGGAGAAGACTGCTTTATAAATGAAATAATCAGAACTACTCTGCCAGTAATTAGCTAGAAGCAGTCATTAACATCTGTCTGTAAAATGCACATAAACTTAACTTCTGTTGTAGCATAGATCATTCCACAAGACATGAAAATCTAAAAAACAAGAGTACTGTAATATCAAATGTACTGGTGCTTGTATAGCAAAATATATATTTGGTTGTCGGCCTTATTATATTGTCAAACAGAATAGCATTCAGTCTAGGGGAATCCTTTGGCCATTTCTTGTTAAAAGATTAAAAAGGACATTGGCAGAAAGGAGACATTAAAGACCTATTATAGTCTATTGCTCAATCTTCCTGCTTCGGTTGCCAGGTTGTAATCTAGTGATTCATGGTATATCTTTAAAATCAACAGCAATGCATGTGGTGAGGCAGCAGTGGCTTCTCCCACCCCTGTGGTATTTGGTCCTTTCACCTGTCTTCTTCCCTTGCTTAATGCTAAAGAGGGGGAATCCTGATCTATACAGTTCTTATTTCCCTTAAATGGTGATTTTTCTCCTGCTCCTTTCTGGGCAGGAAGAATAGCTGTTTGGAATCCATCTTGCCAGATGTTGAGAGAAAAGGGCTTGCTTTGTTATTTGACTGCTTTCTTGCCAGTGGAGTAATTATTTCTTTTGGAATCATATATAATATAGAATGAAGCATTTGAGTATTGTATTACCTATCCTTTTCTAGGTTATGTGTTGCCTTTGTGTTTGTTTCCTTATCTGTTTTTTGGTACTGTTCTGTTTTTTATTGGAAGAAACCTTTCCTTTTGTTTCAGAGTTTTACTTTTTCCTTTTAAGTATTCAAAAGCTTTGACTTAACAGAACTGTCTCCTTCTTACTTGATTTTTTAAAGAAGGATCGTAAGGTTGAAAATACCTCTATATTTAAAATAACCTATTTTAAAAGGTGCATCAACTATACATCAGCCTCCAAACAGGCCCCAGTGACTCCAGTTCCAGTATAAATCAGGCATTTTTAATATGGCTGGACATAAAATGTGCCCAAACAGTTGCAGCTAAAGGACCCACCATTGGTGTGAAATTTGTTTAGCTTTTTCTTTTTTCCGAGTGTTGACAGTCACTTCAGAGCTGACTGAGTGCATGAAGTATGTTGGCTAAAGGACATCAGCCTGTGAGTCTGTGACTGCTTGTAATGTGTATTATTTCAGACATGGTTCATTTTCAGTAATAATAATGAATAGAATCCATTGGGAATTTAGCAGTACAGGAACCAATAAAATAAATGGGAATTGCATGGAAGAACCTCCCAGTAGATTTTACCCATTGATATTAAAAATAATTCAAAATATAGTTTCCTGCTTAAAACACAATTATTTGAAAGTAATAATATGCCTGTTTTATGCATATAAAAGTATTTGTTAATAATAGAGCTAGTGCTCTTCAGCTGCTTTCATTCAACATTTACAGTCATTTTATAGCATAATTGCTGTTTGGCAGATAGCCATTGTTTCTGGTTTTTCTGTTGTAAGACCAAGGCCTGTTTACAGTGACCATTATTATTTTAAAAATCAGGATCTTGTTCAGATAGCATCTTTTTCATGAATGAGCATTACATAGTCTGTACATGTCCATAGGTAATAGTCAAAGAGATCATTTCAGGCATGCTACTGATCTGCTGAGGCAGCTATAAATACCCCCAGATTCACACTCACAAAGCTATTTAATGAAATGTGGAAGAACTGCCACTTCCTGATTCCTCATCCACAGTCCTTAAAACGGAGTTCTTTGATATCATCATTTTTGCCTTTCTGTATTCATGCATTGGAATGGTAGAAGTCTACATTATGTCACTTAGATTTGCAATACAGCAAGAATATTAAAGAGTAAAACTGGAAAATCAGTTAACAGTCTGTCCAAGTTCATTACTTAACTGGCCCATCCTTTTGCATGATGGAAGAATGGAAATCCCTCCTTCACACTGTGGTACACCAAAAGTTAGGAGTAGCAGAAGTCCAACATGTGGAACCCTACATCAGGGGTCCCCAATGTGCCTGGCACATTGGTGGCAAGTGGTCACCAACATTTTTGTATTTTTACATTTTCCTTAATTGTTCCTGTTTTTTTTAAAATATGTGCATGGATTTGTATAAAATGCATGCAGTGTTCCAACAATTATACATACACTCGGACCAGATATTCAAATAAGTACTGATTTGCTGTTGGAATTTGTGGCACTTATTCATATACTAAAAGTGTTGTAAGGTCCTCAGTCCACTGCATTATAGGAAGTGAGTGTTTATCCTTTCAGTTTTGTAAAATCAGTCTTTCAGCTTTCAGAATGGCACAGAGAAGTTACCTTCCCTTCCATTTATTAATTTGGAAGCAGATAAATAATTTAAAATCATTTAAAAGTGTGTATATCAGTGAAATCGAACGTCTGTTCTAATACAAAATTTATCCACATAATAACCTTTTCCCAAAATGAAGTAACTACTGGACATGTGTTAGTGGAACTCAGCAGTTAGTGGAATTTGACAATTATTAAAGAGAAGTTGCAGTGTCCAATAGATGTAAAATAAACATGTTTGGTGAATATGATGGTCTAAAATCCATAGGCACAATCTGAAACACTCCTTAGACACGTTTTGTTGGTGCCCACAGTAGTTTCTCAAATTTCCAAATATGCACATAGGTCCAAACAGTTGGGGATCATTGCCTTACACAGAGCCCTATTCATTTGCTTCCCTCTCCTTAAAAAGCAAGCATGCAAAAAACAGAGGGTGGGAGATTGGATTTCCTCTATGGGTGGTGTGGACTCTCACTTGTATAGAAGTTTTGTTGGTTCTGCACTGCCCATCATTTTAGATAAATGATGAGGGAAGGGAAGGGAGTTTGTGTTCGTTCCTCCACTATATGAGAAATGTACTGGCTGGGTAATGTATAAACTGATGCTCTGTTTACTGAGAATCTCTGCTTTCTTTCAAAAATGAATGCCCTCTTCTCCACCCACTTGTCCAGCATTCTGTGCTCAGGGTCATAGATTGGATTTGAAGATAAGAATGATACTGGTTGATCCCTTGCAAATTATAGAAGGACAGTAATTGGAATAAAGTTTGGAATAAATTGTTTGGCTGAGGTATCAGCATATCAACATCAACATTCTGTTTGATGTGACTCAAACATAAGGCAGAATTTTGTTCAGGTATATGAGTGCTCTCTTTATGTACTTATGCACTGGAAGAGCAAGATCACAGTTATACACCTAGTTTGCATTGGTGTGATCACTGAAATCCGTATGTGTCTGAACCCATCACTGCAAACAAACTATGGTTTCCTAACTAGTGATAAACCACAGTTAGAACCTGTGGTTTGTGCTTGGCTTAAACATCTGGCTTGTTTAATGATGACTTAACCCAGTTCTCTAGCTTTTCCTTGGCAAGTGTGTGCTGCTTCCCATCTGAAACAGAGGTGTCCAGCAAGAGTAGCTTGAAAGGAAACTGCTTTGAAGTTTGGCAAAATCGGTGGGACAGAAACAAACCAGAAGTAGAAAAAACAATCTACAGTTTGTCTGGAATTCATGGCTAAAGCAACAAAGCATGGTAAACATAAACTATGGTTTAGCATTATGCAGCCTTAATCTTAACCAATTCTTTCTGGTCTGCTAGGAAGTCCAAATATCTGTTTAGTAATCTGTTGTATATTGAATGCCTATCCAGAGACTACTTAAGAAATGCTGTAAAATTCTATATATTTGCACAGTGAAAAATATATAAAGAACCTTGGAATTAAATGAAACATCACACCTAGTATAATAAACAAGTTGTTCAAATTGTATAAAATCATTTAATGTATTAATTTATTTTCTGACTTGTTGAACCCCTTCTCAAATAACTTCATTGTATTCTATCTGCGCCCCCCCCTCCAATTTTTGTAGCGTTTCTACAAGAAGGCAGCTGCATTTGTACTACGAGCAGTTGGGAAGCATTCTCCTCAGCTAGCCCAGGCAATAGTTGACTGTGGAGCGCTAGATACACTGGTGATCTGCTTAGAAGATTTTGACCCTGGAGTAAAGGAGGCTGCCTCTTGGGCCCTTGGCTATATAGCCAGACACAATGCAGGTAAAAGTATTCCTGATACTTTAGAATTTATTTAGTGCACTGCCAACATTATGATAACCCCTTACAGAAAGCATGGAGCAGCATGACTCATGCTCCTGTTTCATCAAATAGAAAGGTAGTTTCATGGGCAGTAGCAGAGATGAAACTAAAGAGATGAAATACAGTACAGCTATTATTGTAGCAGGAATAGCCGTAAATCTGTGAGTCTCTGCTTGAAATTTTGCCTCATCTGTGGAGATAAGCTTGGGATATTACCAGTCTACAAAGTTAAAGTATGTGAAGTTTTTTGAACACTGAAAGAGTGCTGCATAAATTAATCCTTGGATCATGTGGGGGAAGTTAAGGAGTGACTTCAGTGAAATCGAGAGGCCCCTTCCTGCTTAAGGCCAGTCCCGATCCTCTCCTGTATGTTTTATATACGGTTACTAAGGGAGCTATCACAAAAGCATGGGATAGGTCACCATGTTCCTCTGAAGTTCAAGCACTGATGTTAACCACAGTTGTTACAATTTTTGGCCACTATTATTCCCAGCAAGGTGCATTTTAGATTAGTTGGACCACAACTCCTATAATCTCTCAGGCAATGTTAGCTAGGGGATTATGGGAGTCTAACACATCAAGAAAACACCAGACTAGGAAAGACTGGCATAGCTATTTAAAAAAACAAGTTGTCCATAAGTGGTTGATTTTGAACAGAGTTCAGTATAACCTCTATGCTGTCTGTCCTACTTCAGCAGATGATTCCTGTGTCAGATTTTTTCTTCTTATCATCTGGTTTGCACATGCATACACCGATAATAAGCCATAGTTGGTTGTTATCCACCTTGCACATGCTGGTTACAGGCTAGGGGATTAGCATTATCGGCAGTGGTGCTTGCCATGTTATGCAAATCTAGGAGAATGGCTTGTTACTCTGGTTAATGGGCTATTGTTAGGTTCTGGAATGGCTTATCAACCACAGTAACTGGCCAATAATAAGAGCTTGTGGATCAGACTAAAAGTATGTCTAAACCAACAGTCTGGTAACACAGTGGCAAACAAGCTGCCCACAAGATTTCACAAGCAGAACATGAGTGCCACAACACCCTCCTGAGTTTTCAGCAAGTAATGTCCATAGGTACCTGCCAAGGATATTGGAAGTAGCATATTGCCATCAGAACTAGTAGCCATTGATAGCCTTATCCTCCATGAGTTTGTTCAAACTGCTTTTAAAGCTATCCAAATTAGAGGCTATCACACCATCTTGTGGAAGTGAATTCCATAGTTTAACAAAGAGCTGTGTGAAGAAGTTCATAAAAAGCTGTGCTGTGGAAGGTAATTAAGCTAATCTCCTTGGCATGTGGCCAGAATGCATGGCAGGAAAATAAGCCCCAGTGGCTTATTACCCTAGCAGCAATTGGGCAAACCAGGCCATAAACCATAGCCATAGTATGTTAACGTCCAAGTGTTCATACATGTTAGCATTTGAGGATCTTATTTTGAATCAGTCTTGGATTAACTTGTTGGCTGCTTGCCTATTTCAGTTCCAGTACACTTTGGGTGCAGTCCTGAAGGTTGCACCTTTGATGATCAGAATCCTCCAAATCTGGAAGTTCATGAATATCTAGTGCAGAGCAAGAAAAGTGGCAGAGGCAGTCTTCTCCTTCCTGCCCTTTCAACCTGCATTTTTGGCTAGATGGGCTTTGTTCGCTGGCATGTGCTGCGGGGAGAGAAGGTGGCCAGAGAGGCTTTAGGATAGCTCAAATCCTGGCCTCTCCAGTCTCCTCTCTCCGCCCACTGAAAAAAACCTTCTCCTTTTCTCCAAGGTCAAGCTTCTGATCTCACAGAGCATCCCAGCTGCAAGGGTACTGGGAGTTGCAGCTTTAATTTTTGAGGTCAGAGTGGGGAATCCAAAATATGCCAAGACTCTTCAGATGTGTCCTAGGAGCCTTAGGATTGCTCTCTCAGAAACTGAAGTGACCAGGCAATGTTGTTGTTGTTTTTTAGAGTAATGATACATTCCTAGCAGGAGCTTTCAAATTCTCCACAGTATTACCTGAAGTAATCTCTGTCTCAAATGGCAGGGAACTTTTGTGTATGTCAATGCTTCTGTATAAACTATAGGCAAAACAATGAATCACTGGGGGAGAAAAAGGCAGTGTGTAGGGGGACAGGGTTAGGTTTATTAAAGAAAAACAGGACATACATGTGGGCATATATGGAAAGAAACATTGCATAGTTTTCTACTTGTACACCACCTTAGTTGAGATGGTGAAGAGCAGAAGATGGAAAAATACTTGTTACAAAGAGTTTATAAATTACTGGAGCATGCTTCTAGAGAGCAATGTTTCTTCTCTCCTCATGAAGCAATTGTAGATTCAGACACGCAGAGAACTTGTGTCCATGGAAACAGTAATACACAGCACACAAAATTGACCACACAGCCAATCAGGGGAATCTTCTCTCTCATAGGGATGACAGTCTTTGAATGAGATCAAACTTAGCCAATCACAGAATACTTATTTGAAGTGCTCCAATTAACAATGGACAATTGGTATGCAGATAGGCACAGGTAGCATATTGGCTAGGGGAACTGAAATCTGATCAGCACATTCAGGGGAATTGAAATCCCAGTGGGCAGTAAAACACATCTTGGAGTTCAAAGGGAGACCTTCCATAAAGGGTTGTCAGTGGTTTTCATATGCATCTGCACCAGCTTAGTCTGTAATTCCTAGCCTCTTGACCTAATGATGATTTAGCTGGCAAGATGGAAACTCAGTTCGAGATGGCCACAGTTTTGTTAATACAATAAAACAAGTGGTATGTGTAACAAGATGTTGTAAGGTATCCTCATATAATGACTGCTCCAGTTCAGGGCTCTAGCTAGTCTGGAAAAGAACTGTAGAAGTTTCGGGAGACTAAAAAGAGGAAAGGAGATACTGCTTTCCAGCGCTATGAGGCCTTCCCTGTTGTTCTATATAGCACTAAAGGGCTCCAGTTTAGGCTATGTGCCACTGCTGGTTCTAAACATTACATAGAAGAGGATGGAATTCTGGAAACTGGGAATGAAAAACGGTTTATTCTACCTTCCTTCCTGAAATATCTCTGTATATTTCATGCAGGGGATGTTTTTTTAACTTCATGGCAAAAATTACCATAATCATAATCCTTTCTTAAATGATTCTTAGTGTAAGTGCTTAAAAACCCGATTAGGCCGTTTTCTTCTTTTCTCCTCTCACCCATCTCCAGATTTCTCTCTTTCTTTCTTGTCCACTTTCTCAACTGGCACCTCACCTGGAAACTCCTAAGTCATCAAGTCCGCATTGGGTCTTTGTTGGATTTGTTTGTTTTGCTTTTAAAACCCCTTAATTCTGGGTATCCATAGTTGTTAAGTGTTCCCCTTTTCCCCCAGACTGATAGACACTTGACTATCCAAATTTGCTATTAGGAAAAAAATGTTACAAGCTGATTTATAATATATTATTACTTCATCTCACACAAATATTCATTCTGCTCCCTTTATTTATAATTGTCATTCTTCTGTGCTTTTCTCTCATTGAGAATTCATTTCCATAGTCTTATTTTCTTATTGGAAATGGTTTTTTCCCATCATTATCTAACCCATTCTTCTTCCAGGTTGTGGTTGTTGGGGTGGGGAGAAGCAGAATTACTGTTTCTGGAATGTGATAAACAATGTAAAAATAAGCTGTACGGGAAATGAGTATGTATATGCATACACCACAATTGAGTGTGTTTTAGAAAATGAATGACTGAGCTTTTCAAATTTGAGGAATCAAAAAGAACAGACTGGGTGTTTTAAAATTAATATTCACTTTTGTAAGATTTAAATGCTTTATTATAACTAGTGATCATGTTAATCACAAACCAACTTCATATGGAGTAACAAGAGAAATTCAGACATCTTTTCAAATTAATTCAACAGTATATAAGAGCAAAATGCCTAAATGGAAAGAACAATAAATCATGCTGAAGCCCTTAATTCAAATGCTGTACCAATTAGTTTATTATGCTTTTTAGATGTTTGTTTGGACTGTTCAACTTTTTTAGAAGTGGGAGGATAGCTATAATTTTACAGTTCGAACACAATTTTTCTTTGAAAATTAGGTATAGGAAAGTAGGGGGGAAATCAGCAGAAAGTCTTGCTACTTTGATACACTTTAGCATCTTTCAGCTTATTGGGATGTTTCACTGGTAAGTCTCAAGACTCTAGGCTATGATAGGCTCTTCAGAAAGCTTACAGGGTAAATAAATCATAATACAATATCAGGTATAGTTGGAGTAGGGAATAATACTTTCTCTGTATTCAGGATTTGGTATATTTCATAGGACAGCTGATACACTTATACCCTGGTGAATAAAATAAATGCATGGAGAGAGGAACGTGTTTTTTTTAAGTGTTTTAAGTATGATCCTAAATATAGCATAATATTAATTGATAGCATCAGTCCATCAGAACAAAACTATGGTCTACTAAATTTAAGAGCAATTTTTTTCTGCACCAGCATGGGTGCAAGGTGTTTTTAGATGCTATCTCTTAAAATTAAACAACAGTACAATATATAAGTGATGACATGAGCAAACACATCAATGGAGGATTGAAGTTTGTGAGTATAACACCTTGTTTAAGAAAGTTCTGTTGAAGGCTTTGACTGATGGACTGTCAATGCAAAATCAAAGTTGGGCCTTTGAATTACAACAGCTATTTGTTGCCATGGCAGTGTAAGGCAGTTAAATGTTAAAGACAGACTATGTGCATAACAAGGAGAAGACCTAACAAGATCTTATTTAAAAAACTAGAATATGCCTTTCAAAATTAATGGGTTTTATGTTCATTTTCAACAACTTCAAAAACAGCCCATGTTGTAACCCTTGCATTTGCTATACCCTAATTTCCTGCTTCAGTTCTGAAGCTAATGACAAATATGTGGAGGGAGAGTAATTAATTTTTGCTATAACAGTATACTGGTTATATCAGTTAATTGTGGGTTCTGGGGTTAAGATACAAGCAACTGGTCATGGCAGCTTAACATAACTGTCTGTTGCTGTGAGTTAATGTAGTGAAAAGACTATTACTGGTAGGTTACCTATGAGAAATGTACTCTTAGATGAGAAATGCATTTTGATATCTAAATGTAGCAAGCCATTTTTTTCACTTTAATACACTATATGTAGCTTTTAAGAATATAAGCATTAATGTGTATTGGGCATATTATTTTCTGCTTCTGTTATGAATGGGCTAAAGTGCTGTCTAAATTAGCTCTGTGGGAGAAGGGGACACGTTTTGGCATTTTGGCTTTTCTTTATTGTTAGCTGTGCAAAACCTGCTTGTCTATTGATCAGTGCACAACAGTCAGGGCTTAAACAGCTGACATCTGCTTACTCCTTTTAAACACACACACACATGCACACACACAGTAACAAACCATTTCAGCCTGATCTACCTCAAATGTGTACATGTAAATGGGGGTCTATCTATTGACCTGTATTCTTTTCAGCTGAGGATTGGTCCACATGGTTTATGAAACCAGGAGGGCTGATTTGAAATGCAGATGTCAAGCCACTGAAGTCCACCCTCCCTTCACCCCCTCCTGCTGTATCTGTCAGGGTGAAAAATGGCTTGCGCAAGGGTCAGTCACCCATACTCGCTTAATTACTTTCATTGGACCAACAGAACTGTCACAGGCTGTGGTGGATGCCGGAGCCATTCCTCTTTTAGTACTCTGTATCCAGGAGCCAGAGATTGCTTTGAGAAGGATTGCTGCTTCGGCACTCAGTGATGTTTCAAAGCATTCTCCAGAGTTAGCACAGACGGTCGTGGATGCGGGGGCAATTGCTCACTTGGCTCAGATGATCCTCAACCCTGATGCCAAACTAAAGGTACTTTTCAAACTATTTTTTTCCCTTTTCCCCTGCACCATGCTCAAATGGGACCCGGGTTCACTTGTGACTGAATATTGAGAAAAACACATTGAGCTAAAAGGGCTTTCATCCCAAAATACATATTACTAACTTGAATAGTGGTAACAAAGGGGAGAACAGGGTATCCTTTTTTATTTGACTGTTGTATGCACAGTGGAAATAACTGGTGGGGAAAGAATGAGTCAGCTTATCTTTAAAGGTTGAAATTATTTGGTTCCTCAGCAATGGTGCTTGGCAGATTTCTGTAATTATCTCAAGAGCTTGTCTGAAGTGTCATGGAATTTCCTTTATATGTGAATCATTCTGAACATTGTTTTGTTGGGGTCCAACATGTATAAATTGCAGAATGTTGCCATGTTATAATAGCACTGTTGGGTCTTAACATGGCAATTTTGTTCTCTGAAATATATTAATTTGGAAGTAGATCCATTTATTTCAGTGATACTTGCTTTCTAGTATGTTGGCTTTGGAACCGAGGACAAGGCTGTAAGTTTTCAATAATGTGTGATGTATGCTTCATCCCACTTTTTAATTTCATTGCTTTTGCTTGTAGAAAGCCATAATATAATATATTGAATAGTACCTAAGTGCTACAGTTCCCTTTGTCTTTTTAATAATATGGCATATTTGTGACAATTAACCACAAATGGCATTTTCCACATGTTTAATTCAAAGAGCAACATTTTAAAAAATCTACCTCAAATATTAACATTTAAATGACAACAGCTTATGAAGATTTGTAAGGTCTTCACTTTCTGTCTAAAAGGGAGCAGCTATTATTTCCTGGGCAATGCTTTTAAAAGAGAAAAATGAAATACATGCTTTGCTTTCTGGTCTTAATTGCTTGTACAATAAATGCTTTTCCTGATTCCATATTGCATTTACTCAGAATACTTGGAAGCAGCACTATTACATTGAACAAGACTTTCTTCCAAATAAATGTTTTTTTCTTTACCAGAAAGCATTTTTCCTTCCTTCATTTTTTGCTCTTAAATTAGGATTAGGCAAAGGGAAGTTTTCCTTTTTCCTTTTCACGTTTTATTGGTGTGCGTGTGTGCATGTGCATATCTCTAAAGTCTTTATCCAATAAGCCATTTATAAAACAATCATTCCTATTTACCAGCGTCAGGTGCTATCAGCTCTCAGCCAGATAGCAAAGCATTCTGTGGATCTGGCAGAAATGGTGGTTGAAGCAGAAATTTTCCCAGTTGTACTCACATGCCTGAAGGACTCCGATGAATATGTCAAGAAAAATGCTGCAACTCTAATTAGAGAGATAGCAAGGCATACGCCTGAGGTAAAACCTTGAGAATGCAAATACAAGGTCATGTTATTAGTGCTTATACTTTAAATATTTTTTTAAATCCCCAGCATTACTATGTCATTAGGCAACGTGAAAAGCTCTGTGGAATTTTCATTGATGCAAAGAAGAAAAAAAAGGAAATGTTTGTTGCTGTTATTGGATGTGCTTGGAATACAAATAAGGAGTAGAGAAATGGGCAAAATGAGCTTTGCTTGTTGGTCGATGTCAATGTGGAGAGCATGCTTAGCAGTTTGGACACACAGGATAGTATAGAGAAGGCAGTAATGAAGAGCAAAAAGTCTTAGGCCCACAATTCAACATGTATGAAGTGCTTTTCAGTCTTACGTCTGTTGGTTTATGCATGTTTTGTTTTGTGTAGGTTGTGCCCTGGCTATACCACCAGGTTTTGCTATTTGGGTTCTTCAGAATGTCAAGCAAGTATGACATATTTAAACATGTGCAAATCTTGTGATGATAATTTGGTTCCCTTAAAATGCTTATTGTGAACTGACCTGAACATTTCTGGATTCTAAACTACATTGTTTTGAGAAGATCAGGGTGAAGACAGGGACTACAGGGGGATGCCAAAGTAAAATGAAACTGGTAACTCAGATAACCACCTCCACTGAACTAAATAAAGCAAATCCATGTGTAAGTGACAGGAAGATTTGGGGCATCATCTATTACTCTCCATCTGAAAATGTTCTGGAATCTCATGCACAACAACTCCCAAGTACTCCAAAATTAAACTTGAAAATAATAATCTAGATGAAAATAACTATAATACGTTAAAAGAATGAAGGGATGAGAGAATGCTTCTTCTCCTGCCTCCCCCCCCCCCCATGTTTGTGAACATTTAGAGCACGCTAGGGCCTCATTATTGAGAGCTTTTTATTAATTTAAGCCGCAGAACCCCACACCGAAATCCGATATTCTCATTATTTCAGGTGCTCTGGGGCTTTAGGGAAAACCCCCCAGATGTCACAAGGATAATGTGAGAGGTGCTGTTTTAGCAGTTCTGGTGCTGCTGTGGGAGGGGGTGAGGGGGAGGAAGAAGGATTTGGGAAATCCTCGCTGTAGTCAAAACTTCCTTTGTGCCGCTGAGCACAGTCTCCACAGGAGTCCTCCCTGTGCCTCTAATGCTCTCGCATTTGGAGCAGAGGCAATGGGGGAGGGGCTGGCTGAATGGCAGGCTGCAGCCTTCTCTGCAGATGGATCTGGCCTTGCGCTTCAGTACCAGGATTTATCTCTCACCAGGCCTCTACTTGGATGTAGGATTTGATCTTGAGGGAATCCTGTTGATATTTGCTCTTTGAAGGATAGCAAATATACGCAGTAGGCTTTCCACAGTGATTTAACGAACTCAATTGGCGTCAAAGAATGAAGCTAAATGGAAGCAGTGCACAGTATTGGTGTTATTGTTTTACTTTCATTTATCAAGCTAGCTGCACTTGTTAAAAATTAAATTGGCTCACAGCCTGCGCAACCCCAAATGTCATTAATAGAGGTGGAGAGGTTTTAGCCGCAAACCTGTTTAGCTGGGCTGTGGAATATTCCAAGTTAGAGTGATCATCTTCAGTGGCTGTTTCTTGAGATAAGTAGGGAGAGCCCTCAAAATAAGAAATCTGTTTTATTTCTTTATATGAGGAACGTATGTTGACCCCTTCAATAAAATGCCTAGGGGTGCTTACAATTTTAAAAACAGCAACAATGCAATAAACTTGAAATACCCCAATTCAAACATATATAAAGACTATATTAGAAATGGTACACTCACTAGGGAGTATTGCAAGACCAGCAAACAAAGCCAAGATAAAACAGAACGAATTGAATTAAAGGGCCTATGAAAGGGTTTTTAAAAGGCCCTTATGTGGTACATAAATGACATCAGAGTATGTAACAGCAACTGCAACTAATATCCCATGTAATGTGATGGTTAGAGTGTTGGACTTGGGGACCTGGGAAGACTTGAGTTCTAGTCCTCAGTCAGCCGTGGAGCTCACTGGATGACTTTAGGCCAATTACTCTTAGCCTAACGTGACTCACAGAGTTTTGTTTTGAGAATAAAATGGAGTGGAGGAAGTTTACATAAGCTGCCTTGAGTTCCTCACAAGAGGACAAAAAGGTGGAATATAAATGCAATATAATAATAGCAACAATAATAATCAAAATAGGATCCAGGCAAGCAAGCACAGCTCCAGTGCCTGGCATGGCAGGGCAAATGTTGGATACGGTGATGGTAGTCAGCATCTTAATTTCCCCAAATGTCTATGTGTTCTGGCACTGTTCTTCACAATGCTGTTTTCTCCAGTGCCACTGGCCCCTCTGCAGTTTGCTGCGCCATTGCTCTTCTGTTGCTCTCTAGCGAGATAGCCTCGGGGATGGGTGCACTGGAGTCCTTTCAGAATTGGCACCACCCTCTGCAGGTTAGCCTTACTGGAGACAGCATTGTGCAGCGAAGGCAGAAGCACTTAGGAGGTTTTTGCCCTAGTAGTTCCCCAGTGTATTTCAGACAGTGAAGTAATCCAGAGGAGATCTTAGTGTACAGACCAGCATATGTAAAGATATGGTGGTTCTTTAAACTGGTTTGAAGGTTTCCTCACAAAGGTAGGATAGGGTATTTAGGAACACTGGTGTAAGCGCATTCTTGGAAAGCCATATTTTCAAAATGCAACAAAGGTTCAATTCTTCACACAGTGATGTTTACATAGATACCACCAATTTCAAGGGATCTTTGTACAGACTATAGCAGGAAGGCTAAGCCCTCATCAATGTCATTTATCTTAACAGTGAATTATGTTCCCAAAACCTATAGTTTGTTGTTTTTGTAGAACATAATTGCTGGAAACATAATGTACCATTGATCTGAAAACTGGTAGCTTCCATTTGCTTTCTAAGTAAACTTATAAACTTTGGCCTATAATATCCTGGCTTAAACACTTCCAAATACCTATAAGACATTTCCACTTCTGGTCTCATTAACATCTAATTCAGATCTGAGTTCAAGTTCCCAGTTGGCCATGACTCACCCATACTGAGACCCTTGAAGAAAGGGTAGGATACAGATGTGACCAATTAAACTGTCTGATAGAGGAACAACCTTGATGTCTTCTCTCCAATTTGCTCCTCGTGGATACATACCAGGGCATATATATATATTCTTGAGGTTTTTTTGATGAGAGCCAGAAACTTTAAAAATGATCGAAGCTGAGGTGGTAAGGAAGTTAATTTCAATGATAAAGATTATACCCCACACAGTTCAATGCCTATGTAGACACCCAGAAATGTAAACAGACCTATACGTATCCTATGGGCACAATTCTGAGTGGTTGGCAATGCTGAATCCCACTGGAATCAATTTAAGGATGCCTGAGTCTTTATTAGGATGTATTGCCTCTGTAGGGTCAGTGGTTGAGCATCTGCTTTGCATACAGAAAGCCCTGGTTTCAGTCCCAGCATCTCCTGATAGAACTGGAAAAGATGCCTTTCTGATATATTAGAGATGCTGCAGTCAGTGTAAATGATACCAAATTAGATGGGCCAGTGGTCTGTGTAATACAGACAGGTATATATCTTGAATAGTAGGATCAACTATCTGCCTGTGGACTTCTCTACATTATAACCTTCCCAGTAACCCTCTACATGCTCTATATGGAATGAAAGCAGTTGATCTGCCTACACCCTCCTTGTGTGTGCAGCACTGCTCCTTCATGGAAGCAAATATAGAAGGCCCTATAGATATCCAAGTTTGTGCACCCACAATGGCCATGGTATCCATTGCTCACTTAACAATGAATAATGCTTAGTATTAATGTCTTGACGCTTCCATGGAGTGGGTTGAGAAATGGGTTGCAAAGTTGGAACTGGTGGACAGTTAGGGCCACTTCAGTTCAATTGTATCCTTGTAAACAGATTAGCTGCTTTTCAGTATGCGCTGTCAGTAGATTTGGCCAAGGACTGCTTGACTGTACAGTTCAGCAGCTGTTTGAAAAACTGTAATATCGCTTAACAACTTTTCTGGTCTATCTCCTTTCAGCTTTCACAGCTTATAGTGAATGCAGGGGGAATTGCTGCTGTCATTGACTGTGTTGGCGGCTGCAAAGGAAATGTTAGACTCCCTGGTATCATGATGCTTGGCTATGTGGCAGCTCATTCAGAGAATCTGGCCATGGCAGTGATAATCTCCAAGGTTAGTTCCTGATTATTAAGGATGATGCAAGGATACTTGATTGTTGGACAGGACATGTGCTGCAGCAGTGCCTTCATTGGACTGACAAGTCAAACTGAAGACTGAGAATAAAAATATGTTGCGTGATTCAGCAGGGACTGAGGACCCAGAGTCAAATAACTTCTCTGTCATGCAAGTTGTGTGTGATCTTGGACCAGTCACTGCTGCCCAACCTAACCTATCTCACAGGGTTTTTATAAGGATAAAATGGGAAGAGGGGAGAAAACCATGGAAGTATCCTCTCCAACATTGTTGCTAATGTAAATTGCATTGTGTTAGTGTAAGCATTCTCTTAACACAATGCCAGTAGTGCTTGTTGGTGCAATGGCTTTTCCAAGGAAACCTGCAGCATTATTGGTCTTGTGCTAGAGGTTGTATTAGTTCCATGTGTGCTGCCCTGAACTGCTTGCAGGAAAGGAGGGTTGTAACTGTAATAAAAATGAAGAACAATATTGCTTACACCTGTTTATTCAATCATTCTGGATGCTTGTTCAGATCAGTAGGGCAGTGATGAAAATAAATAACTTGAAGAAGAAAAATAATTTCACACTTCTAGGGAAATTCTTCCTTCTTTGTGTTATCTTGCTATTAGGTTGATTTCAGTGGATCTTGCTTCCAAAAAAGTGAGCTTGGGATCCCACCCATAACCTCATTAAAATGCTTTAGGGTACACTTCTATGCAAGTTTAGTCAGAAAAATCCTCCTTTTTGTTAACTGGGAAATGCTGGGAGTCATAGGACATTTTTTGGTCTAAAAGTACATATGATTGTGCCCCTTTAAAAGATTTTTTTCTATGTGGAAGTTGTATAAAGAAAATATGTAGAAAAATGTGTTATATCTGATCCAAAAAATGTATGTTCATGATATAGAAAATGTATCTTAAACACAAATCAGCCAGAGTTAAACATATCTATATCCCATTGATCTGAAAGGGAGAGTTAAGTACATGTTTAATTCTCTTACTCCCTGAAATCAGTGGGATCTAAATGTATTTACTTTAATAAACTAAAGGCTGGATTATGCCTTTTGTTTATTAAATAGCCTCCATTATTTCTGTCTTTTTTTAAAAAAGCACACAAAGATGATAATGATCTACTGCCCAGGGTTGTTTTGAGAACAAAGATATTCAGAGTACAATTTTTGTTTCCAGGACTGCATTAAATTGTACTCTACAACCTGAGTTATGTTCCTACTCATTGTGCCTGGAATGCAGTGGAATAGCAGAGGCTTGGGGTTGTTTCCCTTTTTTAAAGGTTATGGATTAGTTTGCTGGCGCAGTTTTGCATTTTCATGAGATGCTAATTGAGTTGTGTTTTTCCAAATAGCAGAAAGGAAACTGGCAAATGGCTTCTTAGAATAAATATTTGATGTCTAAGCTTTAATTGTCTTTAAAATTAGAATTTATAAAATAGGCAATCCTTTGTTATGTCAGTAGGCCTTGCTTTTCTCCTGCTGTGGTATACTTAAGGCAAAAGGAATACATGCTGTAGAAAACAAAGCACAACATTTACAACCTGGTTCATTATTTAAAAAAAGTCCAGCCTTCTTTTATTTGTAGGCCTAGAAACTGGTCTAGAAAACTGGTCAAATGAAAATGAAAAATTTAGTTTGATTTTTCTGAATTGCTTCATTTGAAATGGTTAAACTGTTTAGCAAGCTTTTGTGTCTGAGGTTTCTCAGCCTACAAGGGATTCTGCTAGATAATCTGACAGCAAGAAGGAAACCTAATAATTTAATGCCCTGTGTGCAATATAGGTATTGATGGTATTCTTACCCTCTTTCATCTTAAATGTATCAAATGGTTCCTAGTGGATAGTAGAATTTATTGATTTGTATGTGCATGTATATGTGTGCACATGCAAAGTATTCTCATTATAAAATTGTCAGGACTAAAAGGCAATCTGATGAAAGTTCCAATCGACATCTGTAAGGGTCAGTGCCCACATGAATAATAATTTGTTAGTTGTGTTTAAATTTATTGTGTGCACTGAGCAAAGAGGAAAAAAAATAAAAACCTAACTATATATAGGATTTCCACTGGAAAGGAAAGGGGTGGGTAAAAGAAGCAAACCCCTTCTAGCATTGTGACTGTACCCTGTTCATTTCAGTGCAGCTTGCATGGTAGCACCATGTAAGTCTTACTGAAATGAATGGAAGGGGCAGAGAGGCACTGCTTGGTTGCTTTCCAGAAAACCTGGGAAGGAAACCTGAAACCCTGGAATTTCATGCCTGATAAAAGCACCAGCTTTGCTTTCTGTTTGCAGCCTGAATTGTGGCACCTGCTCTCTGAATCCTTTTGAAAGCAATAAACGTGTCAGTTCTAACTGCCTTTATCGCAGAGAAATTGGCAGATTTAATATCCTTCTGATGCTTAAATTCATAGTGTTCAAGAATATTTTTGGAGGCCTTACAAATGATAGAGTCCTCATAGTTGCTTTCAGTTAAGAACACATGCATGCTTGCTTGCACACACATGAAGAGAGAACCATATTTTGCCCTGTCCTGCTCCCAGAAATCTCTACAAGGTCCTCCAAACCTGACATGGGTTCATTGTGTTTTGTGTTTTTGATGAATACTGCAGGGGGTTCCACAGCTGGCAGTGTGCTTGTCAGAAGAGCCAGAAGATCATATTAAGGCAGCAGCTGCTTGGTCTTTGGGGCAGATTGGAAGACACACTCCAGAACATGCCCGTGCAGTTGCAGTAGCAAATGTGTTACCTGTGTTGCTCTCTCTCTATATGGCAACTGAAAGTTCAGAAGATCTTCAAGTCAAAGTGAGCTGATTTGCCATTATTATTATTATTAAACTTGAGATCAAGTTCCTTTTTAAAGCAAATGAAGCAGTTAGAGATGGGTAGTAATTTAGAAATTGATTACTTTCAGAAATTTGAAATCCATCTTTCAGTCCTGAAATGGAACACTGCCCAGGCATCTAACAGTCAGTTAAAATGATTAACATTAACAAAAAAAATTCTGAGGAAAACAGATCAGCAGCCAAAAGAAAGAAAAGGCCTGGAGGGGATCAAAATCCACTGGCAGTATGCAACCATTTGCTGGGAAATTTTTATTATGATGGAAGGCTAGAAGAGAGGATGCTAACCAAACTTCCCAAGGCACTGCTACTGAGAAGCTGTTGCCTACATATTTGCTCTCTAGACCTCTGCAGGGGTGGAATCTGAAGCAGGACCTCTCTGGAAGATTGAAGCAGTATCTGGGGAGGTTCACAGGGAGCAGCCAAACCTTGGTGCCAAACCAAGTTATCATTTAGGAAGTGATGCTGTTTGGCTGAGGAAAAATAAGCTGGAGGGAACTGAATTTAACCTCCCTGCTACAAACAGCTGACTAATGGTATTTGGAGTCTGGGGCTATGTATGTGAAAACTTATGTGGCCAGGGCTAAGGAATTGTGTGTTGAAACCATTTGTGTGCACAGGTCTGCATCTAAGTTCAGCATGGGGGTCTGTGTGTATGCAGCTCCTTTCTGAATCTCAGGTACCTATTGCCATGAGAGTAACACGAGTATATTATTTTGAATAATTATGTAAACCGTATTGAGATTTTATAAGAATATGACAGTTACACGCTGAGTGAATTGGAGTTTAAAGTTTCTACACGTTAGTACAGCACCTGCATGCAGAGAGATCCCCACAAAGTTCAGAAGGACGCTGTTTCTCCCTTGCTTGAGTACAATGGGTTATTCCAGGAAATTGGAGGTCTACATGTTTCCCTCCTTTTCCTGTCCTTGTCATACTATGTAAATCATGGGGATAAGATGTAGGGTGAGACAGGACTCTTGTTTTACAGAAGGTAGTCCTCCACTTGAAGGGCAGTCCCATCCAGTCCAATTTCAGTTTGTAGATAAAGGACCTTAAGAACTATTGTTCATCCATTATTAGCATCACTTGGACAGCACTCTGAAGAGTCAAGCACACCAATCACATGGTTACAGACTTCTACATTTTCTTATACAGTAAAGATGTACATGTTACAGTAATTATTTCTAACTTAGCATTTATACATAAAGTAGCATATGCACTTTTTTGCAAATTTATATCTTCTACGTTATGGAGATTCTTCCACTTATGGTACAGATGAGAAGAATCAGGACTTCTGCATTTAACTGTGCTTTTAGTCACATTCTCTCACCATCTTTGCTGAATTTTTAAGATTGATTTTTTTTTTTGTTTTCATTACTTGTTCTAACATTTTTTAAATTTTTCATTATTACTATTTATATGACATCCTGATAGCTTGACTGAAAAGGTGGGCTAGGAATTGTTAACTTGGAAAACAGAAGCATTTTTGTAATATTTAAATGCTGTGTCTGCTTCTTGAAGGTTTGAGCCAAGGTAGGCAATAAATAAATAAATAAACTAAAAATCTAAACAAATCACATTAAATTAGGGATAAGCAACCAGTTTAACACTAGTATTAAGATAATTTGTATTACATTGGGAGCAGAAGGAGCAATGTGCCCAGTGGAGCTGGAAATACGTAGTGAGTGCTAATTGCATAGGTTAGCTGCTTGCAATCAATACAATCTGCACATCATTTCCACAAATATAATGGAAACTGAAATACAGTTGGCAGGTGAAATGTACTGCTTAATTTAAATTTTTTCCCATTTTGAGTATTTCTGGGTTCATAAACCCACCCAATCAGTGATGATTTAGAATACTGTGATACGGAAGCAAGTCCCATAATGGAAAAGTGAAAGCACCTGGGACAGACTGTGTGTACATCTAGACCTGTATAGCAACCTTTTTCAAGCAGGGACTCTCCACCTCTGTTGGACTGCAACTCCCATAATTCCCAGCCAGTATATCTGGAAGACTCCAGGTTGGGGACTGCTGTAGTATAGTCTTATCTGGCTATCCATTTCTCTCCAGGATCTCTTTTCCAGCACCTGACACCAGGTCCTTTTAGCTGGGGATGTTGGGATTGAAACCTGACATCTTCCTCCAAAGTAGGGGTTTTCTCATTGAACTACTGTCTCTTCCCTTAAAAACAGTGGGCTGGCTTTCACCTTACTGTAGAACTCTGAGAGTCACTTCCCCATGACTCACATTGGTCCATCTGTGTGGCTTTTTCTTGTCTTGGGTGTGAGCTAGTCTTTCCTCAGAATGAGGTAGCAGAACAGATTTCTGCCTTCAGTGGAATGCTATCTTCTTTAAAAACAAACGCTCTGCAGATGGAGAGCTAGCATAACAGGACGAAAACTTCAGCTGTGCTAGATTTCTGCTTGCCTGCAAGTTCTATTTTAATTTTCACAGGAGAGTGTTAAAAAAGTAATGCCTCATCTTAAATGGTATAATTCTGCTACATCAGGATTCTACCACTTTTATTCTGTTCCATGTGTAGACCAGGCCATTGGCAGAGCAGCATGGGAATAAGCTATATGAAAATGGCTCCCTCCAGTGTTGCAGTAACATATCAGTTGGGCCTCACTTCCAAGCAAAATATAGTTAAGGTCAGGGTGTTCATATTTACCATTTCTTCTGCACAGGATATGACTTAATATTGTCTGAGTCATGGAAAGTTTTGGGGGCCTCTTTCAATTTTTGCTTCCTTTTCAGGATAGCAGCTGGAGTGTAATGTGCAAATCAACTTATTTTGAAGTATACAGGCTAGGGAGTGACACATGGAAAGTCACAAATAACACAAATTGGGCCCCCTGCATAAGACAGTCAAAGCTACACTAGTACAGAGCCCATCAGTTTGTTCTCCTTGTCCTTCTCTTTCTGTGTTTCCTTTTCCTAACCATGCATCTCTTAAACTCTGCTTCTTGAGGCTTGAGCACACATACTTTTCCAGCTCCAAAGAGTATCTTGAAATCAAGAATCATAGCTGAGGTCAAACATGAGAACCATGCACACACATGTGTGTGCAGGTATACGTTTCATCTTGTAATGGGCTGCCAGTCTTAGTCTATTATGCAGCTAGGTTTGTTCCATGGGACAGTCCTGTGTGTTTAGGGGGTGTCATGCCTAACTGAGTCCAGTAGCATAGCTGCCTCATTCAGTAGTGGCTGCTAGCTATTGTGACACACGCTGCTGCAGGAAATGCTGGATGAGGAGGCATCAGTCCTCGTGCTGCAGCTGTGGCAGTGCCATCATCATCATCTTCATCATCCTCATCATTCTAACATTTCATTAGCCATACAAACTGATCAGATGCTTCCAGTTTTCTCAGGGGCTTCTCATGGCATCTTCATGTGATAGCATCCACAGCATAGGGCAAAGGAGGTCTTTTATATGGTGAGCCACACAGAGACCTCAGAGGTGGGCTAATGTAGCAGCATATAAATTCATTAAATAAGAAATAAATAGACTGGTGTACATGCTTGGCCACAGCAAAGCACTTCAGAAACAAGAGCCATATGGAAATCTGACATAATTTGACCCAGCTCTAGCTGCTGGAATATTTTGATGTAAGCAGATTTGCAAGCTGATGCTATGCTTTGCTGCACAGAAGCGCATAGGACTGGATGCTTTTTTATTTAAACAATGCTGCAATGTGGTAGTTTGGAGTCAGGTTTATGTGGTGTTGCAATGCTGCTACGAGGCAGTCAGGCACAGGCACTGCCGCACCAACACTGGAGAAATGCTTCCTTGCCAATATTTCACAGCCCAAACCCCAAACATGCTTGCAATTGTAATTCCTATACTAACAACCAGAGTCCTGCCCACCACCACTATTTTCACTGCAAAGGCACCTCTGCACCTATTGTGCATTGTGTTCCTTTGCTACTTTTTCAAAGCCTGGGTGTTATAAATTAAGCAAGAATGGAAAAGAAAATAGGTTGAAAAATCGGTTAGGAAAAATGGAGGCATTCTACATGCTATTGCAGTAATGAAAAATATATTTTGATACTTGCAGTATAAGAAATGGCATGCCATGCACTACGTAATACTTTTGGGACAAAATAGAAAATATGGAGAATGCATTTTGTATAAGTGGAAGCTAATCAGTATCAGACCATGGCAGAGAGGAAGAGGGCATTGAGCATTTCCTTGTGAATGGCAATCCTAATGAACCTTCCACCTTAAGCTACTACTCACCTTAGAAGGGAAGTTGATCTTGATGCCAATAGAAAATTAGGTAGCTGCTGTATTTGGGTCACACAATTTGTCTTTCTGCTCCATTATCGTCTGCTCTCTCTGGAAACATTTCCCCAGAGTTTCAGGCAGAGACGGTCTTTCCCATCACCTTGTTTCTGCCTTTTTAACTGGAGAGACCACAAAATTGATCCTGGAATCTTCTACATCTGCAACTTCATGTATCTTGCTCAGGAGGAACATCTCCAGTATCCTTGGATGAATACCAGCTTAAATGCAATTTATGTTTTTTGTGCAACTTCTGGTTTGGCTCTTTTAGCATTCATGCACATGCTTAATCTAATAGTCACTGCTGGTTAGGGCTGCCAGTTTTGGATTACAAAATATTAGCTACCTGGAATGATGGAGCCAGAGAAAAATCTGACAGGAAAGGTGTGGAATCAGAACAAAACTCTTGTGGCAGGGAGGGGTAGTAGATGAAATGTTTTCATCTCTTCCTCAGAAATTTATGTCCTAGAGACTTGAGTGTAGGAAGGATGACAAAGCTAAACCCGCTAGAATGCGGGTAGGCAGTGTAGTGACTGTGGACCCCAGTGTAACTTGAATCAACTTTCTTGGCATCTGAGGTGCTATTCTCCTCCCGCTTAAAAGAAATGAACCTGTATTCTGACTGGTAGCTGTGATTGCTTTAAAGACCAGCAACTGCTGCCATTTTCATTTGCAATGACTGCCTCCTGGCCACTGTGAGCCTTTCTCTGTAGGCTGCCTAATTGTTAAGAAAGGAAGAAGAAAAAGAAATTCCTCTCCTTAAGATGGGGTGTTGTCGGGGCTAAGGAGAGCAGCAGGAGTGGGTGCAGGGGGGGTGGATAGGGAAGCATCCAGTGGGGGAGAAGATTACAGCAGGAAGCTGCTGCAGGCCAGTGGAGCCAGCTGAATTTATTTATTTATTTTATTTATTAAAACATTTCTATGCCGCCCCTTGCCGAAGCCTCGGGGCGGCTCACAACATACAATAAAATGCACAATAAATTAAAACAATAACAATTAAAATATATATATTAGAATAAAATAAGCCACCCTGGCCAAATAAAATTTCCATAGTATTAACATTTAAAACACTGCTTAAATAAAAAGGTCTTCGCCTGGCGCCGAAAAGCAAATAACGATGGTGCCAGGCGGACCTCTCTGGGGGAGGAACTCTCTGAATGGAACCTAGGAGGCCCTGTGTGGAGGCTTATGTGCTTGTATGTCTGAATGGATGGGGCTGCATATGTATGTGAATATGAGGGGGCTAGAGAAACATTTTTCTGGGGGATTTGGGATGATTCCTTAAAAAGTGTACTTAAAAAGTGTAATAGTGGTTGCAGGTGTAGAGGAAAAGTGTTTCTATTCATGTATGATGGATACATGTGTGTGTGTGCATGTGAGAGAGGGAGGTGATCCAGAGTATGGAAGTAAAAAAATAAGGGAACAATGAATTGGGTGGTAGAAAAAAGAATTTGCCTTCTGTGAAATAGGTTTCTGTTGGTGGTAAAACGGTTTTAAAAGGAGCTATTTAGTATTTGGGGGTTCAAGTGCCAATTCTGCCTTGTCTTTTAATCAGGTTACTTTCCCCTTGTGATTAGCCAAACCTTTCAAAGCAGCCATTTCTCAAATTTCAAAATGTGTTCCTGGGCCCAAAAAGATTGCCCCACCCTGCTGTAGAGAATGACAACTGCAGCTACTTCCATTACTTACTTCTAAAGGCTCTCCTACTGAGAACTGGCAAATAGGCATTCTCACCCTGTGGATCAAGAAAGTGGGAGCATGCTGAAAGGCCTGTTCAAAAGGACAGGGAGGAGGGCAGCACAGGTAGTCTCCAGGTTCCAAACAAACCATTCCTGAGAAAATGGAAGATCATCTTTAAGTGGAATTTGCATATAAGTTGGACCACATATAGTTGGCCCTCCACATTTGTGGGGTTAGAGGTACTGGACCCCTCCATGAAAGTGAAAATAGCGTGAATATCACTAGGATCCCCGCCCCCTGCCCCCGCCGCCATCCAAACTCACCAGTGCCTCCTCTTTGCAGCAAGGAAATGCCGGAGATTTCTCTCTCTAGATGGGTGGGGTAGGAAGGCATGCTTGGAGGCCTCCCTTTCTCTCCTTTTGCTTTCTTTCTCTCCATAGCTATGACTATTTCTTGAGGAATTAAAAAAATTAATAAGCTTTATGACAGTTGGTTCATAAGTATAGGGTGTTTTTAACTCAGACTTTCGTAACTTGGGACTGCCTGTAGTGAAAAACTGTTGGTGCAGGCCTGTGCTGACAACATGGAGTACAACTGGGGCTTGAGGAAGAGATCACTAAACAGATATGATTCTCACTCAATTAGTGCTGCATAGGGAGTGGCAGGAACTGTGATGTCATCCAAGCAGCCTTGTTTTGAAGGCTATATGAATGTATGAAATCATCTTACATAGTGCCAGATCCTTGATCTGTCCGGTTTAGGCTTGTTGATGTGCCAGTACTCTGGCAATGGCTACATGGAGATTGAACCTCAGCGCTTCTCTTGAGAAGCATATACTCTATTTCATTTCTTCCAGCAGCCATATCTATGACTAGAACTAGTGAGCTATCTTCTTGAGTTTAGACAATTGAGTATGGATTGAGTGTCTGTTGTTGTTGAAATGTAGTTGTTAAAACATGCATCATTATGTTGGTCTGAACCCAACTAACAAGCCATGGTAAACCATGGGTTGTTCATAGTTAAGAAAGCCATGGCTTGTTAGCATAGCTGGGTTCAGAAAGCATAATAACCTCTTGCTTCCACAGTAACTCACAGTTCATTTGACAGCCCACAGTCTACCAATAATGAACCTTTCAGTGTAGTGTCTGAACCTAGTCAGTGGGATCTAGTCTTTCAGTCCAGGTACCGTGTTCTGGTTTACTTGAGCAATGAATGTTAGTTAACTACATGAAAAGGTTTAAAATTCCCAGTCACTTGAGGCTCAATGACTACCTTTTAAACTTTTTGAATAGGAAGCTGGATGCAGGCTATTAGCCACTGTAACTTGTTAATTCACATGCAACATTGCTACACAGGGAACAGAATATCATGTCTTTATCTGATTACATTCAGGTGGTCATAAGGGAGAGGCAAGTGTTTCTGTGGGGTACAGAAGCTCCACTTTGAATTAATGAAATGTATTGCAGAAACTACCTGTATATTTTTAGAGCTTCTGATAGGAATATAAACTGAAAGGTGGAGTGTGAAATCTCCAAGTATCCACAATGGCATATTGCATTCTGCATGTACAGAATTAGCAAAGGCTGAGTACATAGCAGTTTTCCCCTATCTGATATTTTCAAGATGTGAGAGAGAATCTGTTTGTATGTATGTATGTACGTATGTATGTGTGTCATATTGTAGAAAACAAAAGAAACAGGTTTTTTTTAAAAGAGTTTAGATCATTCTTGAGATAATGTTAAGCCTAACATTAAGTGATGATTCTGGAGATGGACCTGGTGCTGGAGAGTCAGGTTTTGATTGTGCTGCTGAAGAGGGGGAGAGGTTACCACTGGAGTTGCTTTCTTGAAGTAGGCCTCTTCAAGAGTTGTTTGTATGGCCATTTTCTTTATCTCACCATAAATGGCCATATAGCACCTGAGGGCCTGGTTACAAGGGCAAATACTTCAGAAAAATCAAAGGGGAACCACGCACTCTACACATGATCTGAAACACACTGGCTTGGGTATGCTGGAGTCGACTGCTAGAACAAAAAGCCATGACTACGGTATCTCTAGGGAACTATGTGTTGTGTAGTTTCATAGAGATATTCACAGCTTTTCTCTGGAGATATTCATATAGGGTTAATGGCAGTCCATGCATTTGTAAGTATGGGCTGTTTGTAACCCTGATGTTCATAATCCAGGGATTGCCTGTATGGTGAGTAGATTGTGAAGTCACTGCCTCATGCTGTGCCCAGTCAATGTTAAAGCAGCATTTGAACAAACTTTTTGCTTTCATTACACTAAAAGGATCTGTAGTAAAGCAGGTACCACCTTACTCAATGCAGCTTTTCATTTCACCTGGTACCTGTTTTGACTTCTTCTGGGTTTACTGGGATTGGAAAACTTAATGGCCAAGACCCAGTGCAAGAGTTTTGCCTGGTTGTAGGTAATCTTTTAAAAATCCCATCTGTACGCACATCCACTTAATCACAACCTCATGCCTTTCATAAGATAGACAGAATTTAAAAGAAACATTTTTGAGTTTGTTGATCTTCATTGTTGGAAAAGATACCTGAAGTTTTTGCATTCAAATAAAACAGGCCTGGATGTTATGAATAGACTTGATAATTTATCTAAGGATGCCACATTGAATGTTTTTATTTTAACAGACAAAAAAAGCTTTAAAGAACATCTTACAAAAGTGCACTTATCTGCCAGCACTTGAACCCTTGCTGCATGATGCTCCTCCCAACATCCTGAAGCATGTAGTTGGCCAGTTCAGTAAGGTAAATGGGCATTCTCTTTTCCACTCCTTAAAGGCTCTATGCTTGGCCAGTGTTTCTGAAACCAGTCTGGGTAGCTTGCTAAACCTGATTATGGCTACCAGGCCTGAGGGCAGCTGTCGTGCACAGAAAGAAAACAGCTGCATAGGATGGTTTATATTTATCAAAACACTTGAGGAATTAAGGCAGACTATGGTACTGTTTTCTCTCTGTGTCAGGATTCTTCTGACAGCCACTTTTGGTCCCTTTTTCTGCAACTTTGTGGGCAGCTATAGCTGAATTTAGCTTTGGGGTGCTTCTGCTCTCTGATTCAGTTTCTTGAAATCACTTGCTGGGAGAGTGGAGAAGGTGAAAAGATCTTCTCTACTGAGTAGGCAAGGGAAGATGCTCAAGTTGTTATGATTTATACTGATCTGGCCAGTTCAGAGGCTCATTACTGTATATTCTGTAAACCATTCCAAGAGCTTGTCTAATTGAAAGGTATAGAAATACCTTAAACAAATTACTGCCAGCCAGTTGCAAGGTCCAGTGTTGGACATCTTTGTTCCCTCCTGTGTCTGAAGAGAAATCTTGGGCTTCAGTGCAAGTAACTCATCATGGACAAGGTTGTGCCTTCACCCTGTTAGGTTCCTTGGTTCTAGCATCAGATGAGAACCAGTGTTTCTGGTTCATTAATAAGTTTATTAATATAACCTAACATTATTTTATGCCTGATAAATAATGAACAACCTGTGCTAATCTACAGCAGTTTGCCCCTACTAGGCACCCACTTTATGTGTTGGATTACAACTTCTGTTGTCGCCAACTAGCAGAGAATAGTTGAATGGGGATGGTGGGAGTTGTAATCCAACACATAAGGTGGGCACCAGGCTGGGGAAGGCTGACTCTTGAGTAAAAAATAAAGGGAAGAGTAAGACAAGCAACTTCTCTTATTTTGAGTATAAATGGTGCTGCTGTTGTTAAAGGAGAATAGGTTTCCAATTGAGGCCTGCAACCTGAATGTTGCTTTCTGTACAATGTAGATCTGTGTTCTTGTTGTGTTTTCTTGTAAGTAGAGATAATCCTTCTGCTCCAGCAGTTGCAGTTGATTCTGGAATGTTCTCTTGAGGTAGGTAACCCTGACTTCTTAATCAGGAAACTTTCTTATTCAGCAGAGAGTTTGTACTGTATCTAGTACACTGACTCAGGTCTGCCGCGGTCCTGCTTTTGTGGCTTCATAAGAAACTGGTGTAACCACATATTGCTTGTTTTTAAGGGTCTCCCTTAATTTTAGGAGGCATCCTTCCCATCCACCCTATTCCTTTCTTGTTTGTTCTTTGGCATAGATACTTTTGGGGGGATGCAGGATGAAAGAATTACAATATGCATTCCCTTTCAACCCCAATCCATGCTAAATTTATGCTCAGTGGCCCTAGCAGAATCTGTTTTACTTCTAAGTAGTACAGGTTGGTTTCATTGCTCACTGGACCTTAAATGATTATAAATTATCACAAAGAGCAAGGTGAAATAGAGGATAACCTTTGTGCTTTTAAGATTTTATTAGGAGAATTATGGCACACATTGGATTAAGTGGAAAAGCTGCTACGCAATGTATGCCAAACAGACCGAAACGGTTCAGATTAGGAAAGCCTTACTGAAATGATGGATTGTCTGGGGCCATTTGATCCTGATGCAGGGATTCTGTCTAAGCCAGAAAGCTAAGCTTAAAAATAAAATGCTTTGTACCCGATTGAGAGCATTTTCACATGGAAGGCTGAAATTGCATTTGGGTTTCCTCAATGTTATTAATGGGAACATGGACTCATTGACAATATGGATCCAAAAACAGAAGTGTTTGTCATTCAAATGTGATGCTGGCTACTATAGATTTTACATTCGTATTACAAAGTGATTTAAGCAAAAACTGTGTTAAGGCTGCAGTATGAAAATGCCTTGGGAGTTTCAGCTATTGGGCATAGTAGAACTGTGATCAATAAGTAAATAAAGTAGTGCCTGAAGTTCAGTTCTCTCCCTGGGCATAATCCAGAGGAAAGCTGTTCTGTCTGAGCTCTGTTGATACTGTGTTCTTGCCCTTCTCCATTTCATCTCAGCAAGACTCACACAAGGGAACATCTTCCTGGATTGTACTCTTTCTGTTAACTCTTCATGGTAATATTAAAATTTTGCAGGAGATAAGAACTTCAGAAAAAGAAGACTAGCCAACATCATGTACTTTATTTTTAACAGGTTCTGCCCCATGACTCCAAGGCACGCCGCCTTTTTGTAACAAGTGGTGGCCTTAAAAAGGTTCAGGAGATAAAAGCAGAGGCTGGATCTCTTCTTCAGGAGTACATCAACACAATTAACAATTGTTATCCAGAAGAAATAGTCAGGTGAGGGTGGAAAATGATGCTAGAGTTTTATTTATGCCTTCTTCAAAGCAATTTGTAGGAATATAATTTATTTATTTTTTTACATGATTCTCTTTTTTTTGTCCCAACATGGCCTTAATGACAGAAGCATTTCATTAGGGGCACACAACAGCAAATGGCCTACTAATTTTGCACAAGCAATCTACACTTCTGGCAAGCATGAAGCCCATTTGCTCTGGAATTTGCATAATCAGGGTTACATGTTAAATAAGAACAGAGTTAGAAAGAGCAGGGACTTTTCATTTTTGTGGGAAGAGGTCAGTACATTGGTGCCAAATTCCAACTACATTAAAATAATGTTTTTTTATTGGTTTCTCTGGGCAGCTTTGGGGACATGTAGAAGTAGCTCATCCTCTGTGCTTTTTCAGAATATTCCATTTTGGTCCTCTCCTCCCACTCTGATTTTCTAATGTGTCACTTTCAACAGTCAGTCAGCTTTCTGGTGGTTCCTGGAAATGTTTAGTCCTCATTGTACTTCTTGGGGGAGGGTTACCTACTTTTTTGGTGGGGAGAGGGTATTCTAAATATGTGTTCTACTTTTACAAACCTCATGATTGCCCCAAAGCTGCTAATACCCTCTTTGTGTATAGGTGGTGCTATTTGGGCTACAGAAGCATGAGCACTCACAGCCGTTTGTTTGACATTCGTATAGATGGCAATACTTGGGATATGACATTTGTTTAGCTGTTGATAGATCAGTTCTTAGGATGTAACTATAAGGGATTTCATACACCAAAATATTTTTTTTTACCACTGTCCTCATACCCCAATTCAACACCAGTTGCGTGTGTATGAGTACTTCATGCTGTACTTCCAGAGCTAAAGGTAGCCTTTGTGGTAATTCTATAATGTAAAGTGAAAGCCAGTGTAGTGTAGTGATTAAAGTGTTGGACTGTGATCTGGGAAATCCAAATTCTAGTCTCCACTTGGCCAGAAAGATCACTGGATGACTTGCAGCCAGTTATGGACTCTCAGTCTCTTACAGGTTGTTGTGTGGTAGGTGGAATAGGATTGAGTTGAGTTCCTTGAAGGAAGAAAGGTGGAATATAAATATAGAAATATAATAAATAAACAAATAAGTGAGCCTTAGGTACAGTAGTGCTATGGTAGAACACAAAAAAGGTGGAAGTGCAAACATTTTGATCAGTGACCACTGGACATAAAGCATCAGGCAACCAGTGCCAGTGCAGGGAGTAGGTTTTGGTACAATTGGACATTAAATATCTCTACTTGTGAACTTCAGGAATGATCCTTCAAGATCTTAGCTTTGCTAAGCTATGAATGACCAACTCATGGCTTAAATATAACATCTGGTTGTAAAGAGGGCCTTACCTAGCCACAAAACCTCATTTGGAGGAATAGAACACAGGAGATAAGGGTCTAATTCAGGGCTGGGTAACTTGTAGCCCTCCCAATGTTGTTGGATTGCTGCTTCCATCAGCCCTATCTCAAGTAGCCAATCATGAAGGGATAATGAGAGTTGCAGTCTAAGAAAATTCTGCCTCCTCCTCCTTAATTTCTTAGCTTTAGAGCCCTACCCTAAACTGTCATAATCACTTTTACCTGCTGAGCCCAGTCTTCCATATTGCTCCCACATTTCTTTCTCCAGGAATACACTAATGAATAGGCTTCCAAGTAGCTGTGTGTGAAAGCTGTGTTAAGAAGTTGGCTGCCCCTGTGCTAGGCCATTGCTTCATCAAGAGTGCGAAGATGCCATGCAAGTGTACTCCCTCTGCTGGTCATCTGCATTTTCCCTAGAAGTCATTAGAAAGTTAGCTAGTTCAGTTCTTCTGGAACAGAAACAATTTGACCTGTGAAATAAATTAAATAAAATGATTTGAGAATTTCTCATAGAGTGTTCTTGAACTGCTGCCTCCAATACTAGACACAACATTGAGCTAATATTACAGAGATTTTGCTATGCTAGCCTGTTAGGCAGATGTACTATGGGACTAGTCCATTTTGTTAGACTCATTCTTCTTTAGCACAAAATATAAGCTAGACTTTTGTGTTTTTAAAACATACAATCTGTTTTGAAGAAAGTGTACATAGGATTGTAGCCTTGATGAGAAAACATAGACAGTTGTATTGTTAGTAGAATGAACAAAATTATGCAAGATCTCTATTTACATAGCAGTCAGACAATGTTAATGTAGTAACATTCTCTGTTACTCTAATGTTTGCCTACTCCCACATCAACAGATGTCGGTCTGATGAAAGATAATCTTGTTTGTTTTATATGTCTAATTGCTCTCAGTTTTACCTAGAACTAAAACTTATTATTCATCTTTGTATTAACAAATGCTTTTTTGTTTATCTAGAAAAGACAACAGCAGTGTAGTGTAAAGCATTAAGAAACTAGCTCCTCCTTTAGTTCTTCCAGTACAGTTCTTTACTCTCTGTTGATTTTTGTTTTGTTTTGTTTTAAATGCCACACATTGCTTTTAAATCTGACCTTTGTACTTGGATCTGAAGGAAGTTAGGACACATTTTTATACTTTGATTGCCTGCCCAAGAGGGAATAGTTAGGCAGCAGTAAATTCCTCCAAGTAAAATCGTTAAGGGATCCGAGCAACATTAAGCAACATTCTCTAGGGAGGAGGCTTCGAACATTTGTGTTTTTCTTTGTCATTTCTAAGCAAAGCAGCAAGGAAACAGAGGTGCCATTTCAGGTTTCAGTGAGAATGGAGGAGAGCAAGATTCACAGGAAGGGTCAAAGGCCTTCCTTGGGTATATATTTAAGATTAAATGGCAAGTAAAAGACTTTCCGTTTAAAAAAACTTGTGGTTGGTATGTATACCTCATAATAATCTGGAATATAGGTTCTCCAGAGGAGTAATTTTATTTGCCCTCATTTGATGGTAACCTTGGAAGAAGAATACTCAATTCTTTTTTATTTCTTTCAATTTATATTTTTATTTTGACAAATGGTAACAGGATTCAGCAGAGTTGTGGTACAGGGAATTCTGATACAGAGAGGCCTGCTTAAAATGTCAGCCTTGTATAAAACCTAGCAAATAGTTTCATTTTGCAGGCAGTGGCATCAAATCGGAAATAACTAGGACCACACCACACATGATATAGACAGTGTAAAAATAATAGTATCTGATTGACATCTAATCTAAACTGCTTCCCAGTACTCTTACACATGCAAGTTTCTTTCAGGGAAAATCAGCACTATGAAACTAATATTTTTAGTTTGATCTCTGTTCTCCTCAGTTCCAGGTTAGGGCTTTCTGTATAGTGCTTTCTAAATAGTGAAACTGAGCAGACTACAGCTTTCACATCTGTATAACTCGAGGACACATCTGCTGGGAGTAATCTGGAAAAGAATAACTTGTGCTAGTTTTCATATTAAGGAAGAATGTGCATGTTCAAAGTGCACCAGGAATTAGCTTAGCATTAACTCCAGGGAATCGTTAAAGATACGAAAAATGTGTTCCATTGGCTCCAATTCTCAGTCACTACAAGCTGAAAGGCACTAATCAGTGACAAAAATGAATTAAGATATATGTAAAATCAGGGCTCAGATGTTCCTTTCATGCTCTTACTTCCCTCTTTGAGAACCCTGGTCCTGAATCTTTATTTTGTTCTGGTGCAGGGACACAAATAAGAAAGGCATAGGACAGCTGGGAACAAATCCAATAAAAGCAAAGTTGGTGAATAATTACTACAGTTGTCACCAAAAAGATGAGGGAATGGGAGCAACACCCCTAGTAGTGTAGAAAAAAGACAAGTGGTGGGGACCCATGATAGGATCAATCAGGTACCCCCACTTTTGGCTAGTTTGCAGTCAGCAAACTAGCTACAAGTGGGCTAGGTGAAACAACTCTCAGGTTGGATAGGTGGATCCACAGGATTGGACTAAAGAATTGGACTCAAAGAGTGCTTCCCAATGGCAGCTTCTCAAACTGGGGAGAGGTAGGTACTGCTGGGCTGGGCCCAGTACTCGTCAACATTTTTATTAATGACTCGGATGATGAGGTGTAGGGAATGCTGATCAAATTTGCAGATGACACAAAATTGGATGGGATAGCTAATACCATGAAAGACAGAAGCAAAATTCAAAGTGATCTTGATATGGGTTGCTGGGCTGAAAGCAACAGAATGAAATTCAGTAGGGATAAATGCTTCCAAAACATGTGAGGTATTGGTTCCCCTCAATTCAGCACTAGGTAGGCCCCATCTTGAGTACTGTGTTCAGTTCTGGGCACCACACTTCAAAAAAGATGAAGACAAACTGGAGAAAGTTCAGAGGAGGGCAACAGAGATGATCAGGGAACTGGAAACAAGGCCCTACAAGGAGAAATGGAAAGAACTGGGCATGTTGAGCCTTGGGAAGATTCTGAGGAGATATGATAGCACTTTTCAAATACTTGAAAGGCTGTCATATGAGGCCCAGGATCTCTTCTCAACCATCTTGGAGTGCAGGACATGGAATAATGAGCTTAAGTTACAGGAAGCTAGCTTCTGGCTAGACAACAGGAAGAATTTTCTTAGAACCAATTCACTAGGGAGCTTGTGGGCTTTCTGACATTGGGGGCATGCAAGAGGCAGTTAAACAGCCATCTGTCAGGGATGCTTTAACTTGGACTCTTGTGTTGAGTAGGGAGCTGGACTCAGTGGCCTTATATGCCTCTTCCAATAGTGGAAGCCTGAGTGGGCCAATGAAGATGAATAGTGGGACAGTGTAAAAGTCTTTCCTTAGATTATCTGGAGGATTGCCTTATCTCATATGTACCTACCCTAAGGTCATCTTTGGGGGTCCAACTCTTGGAGTTCCTTTGAAAGGAAGTGAGGGGACCCTAGTTATGAAATTAGTTCTTCAAAGAGGTGGGCAAGGTGCCTACTTTATATTCTTTTCAGCACCAAAGGAAGAACTTTTCTTTAATTGTCCCAGCATTTTAACAGGTTAACTGTCTAACTTTATTTTTAGCATTGCATTTTATTGTTTATCACTGCTATGCTTCTATGATTCAATTGCAGTTGCTCTTGTGGTTGTTGTTTTAAATTAAGAGGGATGTGTGTGTGTGTATGGTTTCTTTTTAACTTTTGTTAACTGCCCAGGGAGGTATAAAAATGAAATAAAGCATTTAGTTAAAAAAGAATTCACTGCCGTATTTGGATGGTCTTAAAGGGAATTAGACAAAGGAAGAGGTGGTTATCAATGGCTGCTAGTCCTAATGGCTTTATGCTGCCCCAGGGATCAGAGGTAGTATGCTTATGTGCACCAGTTCCTGGGGACCACAACAATGAGGTTAGTATTACACTAATGCCCTGTTTTTGAGTTTGCCTTAAGTATTGGATTAACCACTCTGGGAAACAAGTTGCTGGACTAAATAGATTCTTGGACTATTGTTATATTTAGAAACATAGAAACATAGAAACAGAGCGAGTCAGAAGGGGCCTCGCGGGCCATCTAGTCTGGCCTCCGGCACCAGCCGGCTCCGCTCACGACATGCCCACCATGTGGACGTCCACCCTATCCTTGAACACCCACACCGATGGGGCCTCAACGACCTCTCGTGGAAGCCCATTCCACACCCTCAGGGTCCTGACTGTCAGGAAGTGCTTCCTGGCATCCAAATGGAACCTTGGCTCCCTGAGCTTTGCTCCGTTGGAGCGCGTCCTGCCTTCCTCTGCAGGGGAGAACAGGTCTCTACCCATCTCCATGTGACATCCCCTCACATACCTGTATGTCACCAAAATATCCCCTCTGAGTCTCCTCTTCACCAGGCTGAAGAGACCCAGTTCCCTCAGTCTCGCCTCATACGGCATCCCCTGCAAACCGGCCACCAACCTTGTGGCCCTACACTGCACAGACTCCAGCCTGGCTATATCCTTTCTGTAATGAGGGGCCCAAAACTGAACACAATACTCCAATTGCGGGCGCACCAGAGTCGTGTAGAGTGGTAGTAATACCTCTCTTGATCTAGAAGCAACACTTCTGGCTATGCAACCAAGGGTGGTGTTCGCCCTCTTGATATTTTAGAAATAAGTCTAAAACTCCCAGCATTCCCCAGCCAGCACGACTGACCAGAGGAGGCTTGGAACAGTAAATCCTTTTTCTGTTTAACCATGCATAGAATTGCACCCTTAGTCAATTGAGCCTTCAGTCCTAGGCATGTTAACTAGAAGTACCAAACTCAGTTGCTCTTACCATTCTGAGCAAACGTATATAGAAGTGGGCTGTTATTTGTTTATTTATCTAGGAGCTTTGTACACTTTCAATGTTTTTCAGAGCTTCCTCCAACAGATGGCATAAGGCTCTATATCTGTCCCATCATTTATTCAATCCTTAGACAGCTGGCACTTGGAACAAATTATCTTTCTGGCAGGGGTGGTTGAGGCAAGCACCCCGAAACTGCTTCTTCATTGGTTGATGGATGGGCCATGGTGGTCTCCTGGGAGGTGGAGAATTGCAACTTCATAGTGTCCATGATCCCCTGAACAGAAATGCTTCTTTCCAGATTAACCAATGTAGAAAGAAATCCTTTAGTCCCTCAGCAAGTGTCCCAGGGACTATGGGGCAGGTTGGAAAAAACCTTCCAATGTCATAGTGTTTCGTTCTCAGAAGGGAAAGTTGGAGATCTAACCCCATACTCTTCTTTAGAGAGAGGAGTGACACTGTACCTGCTGTTTCTTGGAGGTCAGAAAAGTGACTTCAGAGGAGGAGCATTCTGGTGACTGAGGAGGGGAAGTGACTGGATATGATTTATCCTGAGCTTTCTTCAGCTTCCTTCCTTCCCCATCTGAAGCTCATCTAGTTAAAATCATTCAAGAAGGAGCATGGGAAGGCAAAGTTCATCTTCACTGTTCCTCTCACTTTCTTAGCTTCAGCCAGGCAGAACATAGGAAATTTGGAAGCCTTTGAGTTTGGGGGTTTCCAGGCAGCAAGGGCACAAATGGTAGGATTTCACCTTTAGATTTCTTGTGAGGAACATCAGTTATTCTAAAGAAACAAAATCTGTTCTTAATTTTATTTATTACATTATTTTCTAATCCTTTTTCCAAGGAACTTAGAGGAGGGCCTGCATCTCACCACAGCCATCATATTAAAAGAGGCATTCTCCCTTCTCTCCCACATTAGAGGGAATGTCTCTTGTAAGAAGATAACAATACTTAAAATCAGAGGACTATTAAAATGTATTAATAGGTTGATCTGACAAATTAATCAACTAAAATGTCAGGTCTTATGATTATTTAATTATTTTAGGAAAATAAATTGAACCCATGCATTTGATTTAATTCATAAATATGCTTGAATGTATTGCACATAACTTTTGCTTCAGCAGAGTGAGGTGTACTAAATCCCATTGATATCTTTCAGCAGGTTTAAGTATATCTAATTCTATGCTTTGGTCTTTAGCACAATGAGCTTTTAATCAAGGCACTTTTGTTTCTCTTTCAGATATTATTCCCCTGGATATTCTGAAGCACTTCTGGAAAGGGTAGAAAATTATCAGCCTGTTCTATAAATTTTTCAGCCTTTGTGACAGAAAAATCACTCTCTTTCCTATCTGTGTTTTTGAGTGGCAAGCAAATATATTTTGAGAAACTCGAGTCCAGGATATATTTAACCTTCTGTTCTGTTACCAATCAATTATGACAACAAAAAGAAATGTCTTGTCCACCATTGATCCACAGCTGGTTTTTTGGAAACTCATGCCAAAAGCAAAGACTGTCACGTGCGTATGTTAAGAGAGCTGCAATCTCAGGTGTTCTTGACAGCCTGAGCAAAGGAGGCAGTACTCTTTCTGGATCAGCCTGTGGTCTTTGGAGCATTTTGTCTGATCAGGTCTGTAGGATAAAGGAGTTGTTCCAGCAGATATGTTATTATGTGAGAGGCAGCCAACAGCACCATCCAATAAGCACTGCAGCTATACAACCCCAGTTGGTTTCACTAGGGCTTCAGAGAGGTGTCACCTGCACCTGGCCCAGTTCAAGAATTAACTGCCTCCATAGAAGCAAATAAGTGGCAAAACATTCGCCCTTCTTGATTAAGCCCTGCTACTGCCTCTACCTCAGCACTCATTCTCTGGCATGTTGAAGAGCAAACGTGTGACCAGTGCTTGCTTGACCTTTTAACATCTGGGCTTTTGATGATACCGTGTCATGCACTGGGAACTTTTAGGAGTAGATTTGAAGAGATCTGATATTTAGGTAACAAATTGTTTGTCCAGATTGATAAGTACTTAAAGGAAGACCAGTGGCTATAAGCATGACATTGAACCTTGCTTGAAAATTTAGTAACTTTTCTGTTACCACAACTCCTAAATGAGAGTGAGTACTTAAATGAAATTACAGTAAATTTGCAGTCTGACAGCTCCCAATTACCTAACATTGGTTACTACAAAATAAAATTCTGCATCCATTGTTAAACAAAAATAATATATAACCTTTTTATTAAAACAGCATTTTCCATTTTTCCCTTTGTCTCTGCCTTATTGTCTGCCTAAGCATCCAATTTTAAAAGGATATCTGGAAGGGTAAATGTTACTCTTATCAGGTACTGCATAAAAATCACTTGAAGGAATCAGTATCCCAAACATCCTTTGATTCTGTCTTATAGGGCTACTGTAGGTTACTTGTTTTCATTCAGTTAATCATATTCATCCCTAAGCAATGAAATACATCTTATATTGCAAGATCTTGTACAACTTCTGAAAGTTGCTTGGGTTTCAGTGGTCCAGTGGCATGGAAACATGGATCAGCCCACCAAGAATACCTTTGTATGGTATTTATGACTGATCTCACCCTATGAATATGCTATTACAGGAAGAAGTGAGCCTTTCCATCATAATATCAATTGGCTTTCAATCTACAGTCGACTTCTAGTAATTGTACTCCTTCTCATAAAGTTATACTCTGTCCTGTAAAACCTTGCTAGTTTGGAATGCAACCTTAGGGTACCAAACAGTACTAAATCCATTCTAAATCTGTGTGGTGGCTAGGAAGGCTGATGGGGGTTGGAACTCTAGGAACTACTTAATATTCAACACCTGAATTACTTTCTTACACCACCTTCTGCATGTTGTTCTTTGGTTTTGCAGCCCAAGCACTCATCTTGTTCTTTGGATTTCTTACATAATTCTGACCAAGTCTCTCCAAGTTGGTTGGTCAAGCAGGGCTTAACCATTTGAAATCCTTTGCCTCATTTATTTTGGGATGCTTGCACATTTTCGGTCTGGACCAAACCAGCCATCCTCTTAAGGGAGTCAAAGAACTGAACCAAGGCCAGCAACAGCATCAACTATTTTTTTGCTGCTTTTGCTGGGCTGGGGCTTTTCCCCCTACAAGAGCCTGAAAAGGACTAGGTTGCTGAAAAAAAAGTTAGTGACCATTGAGCAGCCCTGGGAGGCTATGGCAAGATTTTATTAAAATGCAACATTTATGCATTTTGTATTTGGAATGGTACATAAGCTGCTTTCCAACAATATTTGAAAAGGACACAGACTGTGTGTGTATAGCAGGGTATTATGCAACCCATTTCTATAGAAATATAGCTAGAGAAATAATGCTGTCATAGCTTGCTTTATAGGGATTCTGTCAGTATAAGCCACAATATAAATACAGTAGTTGGGGGTGGGAAGAAACACCACAGCTGGAGGCCACATATGACATGTATTTATTTATGAATATGTTCTGTTCTCCCTTTCCACTCCACAGTGAGCTCCCAAGGTAGCTGACAACCTCAGTTAAACAGAATACAATTTTAAAAACAGTAATTATAAAACAGAGGACAAGCATCACCAATAGTAAAAAATTCACAAAGGCACACAACTGAAATAGTTCTAATTCTGCATTCACTGGCAAAGTTATGTGGAACGGAGAACTATCTGACATATCCAACATGCATGTAAATCTCCACAGATTGCCTGTATCACCATAATCTCACATGCCTAACATATAGAAGCAGCCAACCATATAAAATAGGATTGCAAGAACAGGCATCATAAGAGGGTGAGAGATTTCATCTGCTAACCAGGAGAACTTACTATATTTAAGTTGATGGAGGCCATGGAAAGTACCAATGTGCCTAGAAATTACTGTAGGATGGTTGTAAGTATGGTATCTTAATCACTTTAGGGTGTTCATTTCACCAGTATAAATAGCTGAATTACACTGTTTCTTTATTTTCAGTATCTCAGTCTCATGCTGTACTTTTGCATTCCTTTGACATATGGCCTCCCTGTTTACATTTTGTATTTTCCTGTGCTGACAGGGATACTCTTCATACATCTGTGGAATAGTCAGCAAAAGATTCTGTCATAATAAATCTGTTAGCTGTTACAGAATGCTTTGTGGCAACAAACTGGCATGGCGACCCCTCTAGAACTACTTACTGGAAGCAGGTTCCGCATAAATGATTTAGTACTTAGTGACCTGGTTTGTATGTAGGGACAGCCTATCAGTTTAAAAAACACTGAGGGTTGTGCACAAGTTGGAGAGAGTAGGTATACTTCCTGCAGTGTGCCCATCTCTTTTGCTGTTACTATGCTACCTATGATTGTCTCCACAGGTTGCAGAGCATGACAAACAAACACAGACTATTGGCTTGTTAGGGGCTAAACAACCAAGTGGCAACCCCATGGCTTGTTGTTGGATTAATCACTAGGTTATTTAGCATCTGAACGTACAGTCATCAACAAGGTGAAGCAGCAAGGAGTCCAGATAGGTGCAACTTTCCATGTTTCTGCTGAGCAAATATATGCTGGTATCAATGAGTATTTATTTCCAAGTAGATAAGATTGATTTCAGGATAGCAATTCATTATAGTATGGGAAACCATATTAGATAGAAATTGTGTTAAATCGGTGCCTGGCTATGACAATGGACTGGATGGGGGCCAACAAACTGCAGCTCAATCCAGACATGACTGAGATGCTATTGGTTGGTGGTTCCCTTGACCAGATGGTGAGTGTTCAACCTGTTGCACTCTCCTTGAAGGAACAGGTTTGTAGTTTGGAAGTGCTTCTTGAGTAATCTTTGTCGCTTGAGGCTTTGGTAACCTAACTGGCTTGGAGTGTCATTTAGCAGCTATGCCCCTATATAGGCAGAGAGAGCCTGGCTTCAGTAATCTATGCACTTGTAATCTCTAAATTAGATTACTGTAACATACTTTATGTGGGGCTGCCCTCAGAGTGGTTCAGATGCTGTACCTGATGCAGAAGTAAGTCCAAACATTTAAGACTAGTTCTGGTCCACCTGCACTGGCTGCCTGTATGCTCCTGGGCCCAATTCAAGGTGCTGATATTAACCTATGAAGGCCCACACAGCTTAGGACTTTAATACAGTTGGAGCACCTCTCCCAACCACAGTCCACCTGGGCACTATGCTCAACCTTTGTGGCTTTCCTCTGAGTGCCAACCCCATGGGAGGCTTGGAAGGTGGTAACAAAGGGGAGGGCCTTTTCTATGGTGGCTCCCCATCTTTGGAACAATCTCCTTGCTGTGAGCTGCCTTTTGCCAAATTTGCCATCTTTTTGGCACCAGGTCAAGGCAGCCCTTTATGTGGAGCCCTTTAAGTATCTACTTGGTATTATGGGGGCCTCAGGGGATTATCCAGGTGATTCTTATTTTTTACTGTATTTTAAAAGCTATTTTAAATTAATTTTAAATTCATTTTAATATTGTTGTGTTTATTAGTATTGTATTTCTTTGTTTGATAAATTTTGTAAATCACCTAACCAGTGGCTATGGGATGGTATAGAAATGAAATAATAATAATAAATTTAGACCACAAGTAGCTTAATATTCTCATTGAGAAGCTAGGAGTACTGCAAGATTAATTCCAGTAGGTTTTTATTTTATCATTATAAAAAGCAATTCTTTTAGTTATTAAGTTCTTTAAAGTCTTTTAATTGAGTTAAATGTTTGTGGCAACTATACAATTTTTTAGTTGGCTTGCACATTTTGAACAGCTTCTCAAATTGATATAAAAAGCAAGACAATCCAGCATGAATCCAAGTTACATTGCCAGTGTTCATTCTATTGGATAAAAATTAATAGTTCCTTATTTTTCCTTTAGACAATACATAAATAATATTGGTGTTGGCAAAAAGAAGCCACATGCTGCAGTCAACCCTATAATTTGGGTTAGTGTGAATACCAATTAGATGATTACCATTGTGCAGTATTTGTGTATGCTTAACAAAAGATCAAATTAAGTGATGTATAAAAGGAAAAGAAAACATTTTGGGGAGGAGAGGAAGAGCCTCATTCTCAGTGCTGGCTGTAGAAGTATGTCCTCATGCTAGTCTTACCTGTCCATATTTTGACACGGCATATTTGCCACTTTCTAGATTTTAGTCAGTTTGGTCAGCACTAAAGCCCACAAATAGCATAGGGAGACTTTACTATAACCCAGAATAGATCTGCAAAACTGCCCAGGTCCTTCTGGCCTAGTCACTTAACTAGCTGTGCTAGCATCATCAACACACAGATATTTGGACTTTAGAAAGGTTAATGGCCCTAATGTCAGTGTGCTGTATTTCGATCTCCCATGAGCCATATCCAAAAGAGCAAAAATGTGCAGTGCTTCATATTACAACATAAAAACAAATTGTTTTCATTTGTGCTGCACCATTTACAGGACTCTAATGTATCTTAATATCCCAACACTTCCCATTAATAAGCAGGTGCAGCTAAAAGCCCTACTTAAGAACCAACTTGTTAGATTACCTTTTGCACTTTACTTAGACTGTCATATGAGGCGGCATGGTACATTTCCTATACCTCAGCATCTACTGCTAGAGGTGGTTGCCTCACTCTGCATCTTTAGGACCCACCACAGACTCTTTCAATCCCTACCCTTCATGGCTGATTGGAGCTACCTATGAGGGACTGACTGGATGGTTAGGGGAGTGGTGAACACATCTTGCCATGGTGCTGTTCCTAATGTCTCGAAGGGGGCAGTGGTGCAACCACTTCTGATCCAGAGATCCAGAGATTCCTGGATCCAGAAATTGATCCCACCTATTGTCTGGTCACAAACACCCCATTTCTCGATAAGGTGCTTGAGAGAGTAGGGATGTTTCAGCTGCAGGATCTTTTGGATGAAACTGATTGTCTAGATTCTAGATCCTTTTATTGTCTGGATTCAGGCCTGGTTTGGGGATTGAATTGGCCTCAGTTGCCCTTCTTCAGTAGGACTGTGACCCTGTTCCTTCTGGATCTCAGTGGCTTTTGATACAGTTATTATTATTATTATTATTATTATTATTATTATTATTATTATAACATTTCTATGCCGCCCCTTGCCGAAACCTCGGGGCGGCTTACAACATGATAAAATACATTGAAATACAATAGTACATAATAAATTACCATTAAATATAACAATACAAAAAATACATTGATTTACAAATACAAAATTAAAATTATCAGT